GGTACAGTTAAGAATCCCTACAGACTCTCAGGCGCACCGGCAAGTAGCGCCTCGAGTGTGTAGGCAGACTTGCCCCTGAAGCATCTTCAGCATGGTTGGCATGGATTTTATCGGCCTCTTCGACTCGATACAGACTCCAAACCGAGTTTCAATCGAAGACTTCGCCGATCGAGTTAACATATTTACTGTGATCCTCTTGTTGCTGTCCAGTGTGGTTGTTGCGGGCAAGCAGTATCTGCTCAATTCCATCTCCTGCTACATCCCAGTCAAGCCGACCGGAGAAAACTTTGATAATTATCTCTCCGACTACTGTTGGGTGCATGGAACCATTCCACTGATGTCGGATGAGCAGATACCGAAGACACCGGAACAATGGCAATTATACGATGAAACGAGACGGATAAGTGAGCTTGTCGGGTTGAGTGCTTTTGCTCTGCGTTGGGATAATTGAGCTGGAGGCAGGCAGTGATGTTATCAAATTACTTTTTATCAACTTAATTTAATACTCTCCCCAGTGAGCTTACTTCTATTTAAAGTGAAAGTGTTTTCGGTGAAGAGATTCGAAGGTCGGTTCCACCAGAAGACTTCTTGACCGGCTGTTGATTGGCTTTACTTGCAGATTCATGTTGACGCTGTTTCCGAGGAAATCTCATTCGATTCCGGCGAAAAGGTGCTAAGCTTTCCTCCGTCATGCGACGAACATCATCAGAGCAAGGTTTCATCGTGACAACAAAATTCAAACTAACGAGTCAGGAAAACTTGAATTTTGTTGTGACAATGAGACCTTGCTCTGATGATGTTCGTCGCATGACGGACGAAAGCTTAGCACCTTTTCGCCGGAATCGAAGGAGATTGCCTCGGAAACAGAGTCGGCATGAATGTTCCAGTAAAGCCAATCGACGGCTGGTCGTCGAATCTCTTCGCCCAACACTTTCACTCGAAAAGGAAGTAAGCTCAACAATTATGAAACAAGAGATTCCTCGAAACCCAACTGCATATGAAATATTTGGCCTCATAGGATCTAATTTCGCCAAGTTGCTATGGGCCCGAATATACTAGATTGTAGATTATTACATGAGAAATTATGTGTATTAAATCGCAGTTTGTAAACATTTATGCGATTTCAGGGGGCCAGATATTACGGCATATTATTTATTTGAGTAATAAGTAGTTAAAAAAAGTATGCGTGTTTGCTTACTCTGGTTTGATGTTCGTTATTACCCGCTTTGCTTTCAATGCGCATGATATATTTCGACCATCTGCATGATTAGTAAGTAAGGTCAAGCTCATCTTGCTTTCATTTATTCAACCATTCTAAATCTATATCATCCCATTCCTGTGGGCTTGACGACCAAAATAGCGCCATTTTGAGCATGAAATGCTTAGCATCATCGGATTTACTTTTGCAAAATTGCTTTGAGTCTGCGCATACAATGCTGTAGATTATTGTGTATAAAACTATGTGGACTAAATCGGAGGTTAAATAAGGGATTGTGATATTTCAACGTGTCATATTTAATCTGTAACTACACTTTGGTACTTATTTATGTACTATGTACTAAATGTGCCTTATATTTTCCTATAAAAACTTGCTTGAACGAGTTGGTAGAGTTCTATGGGCGTATGGTTGAGCTGACCAATACGAGGAGTTCATCTGTGCAAGCCTCTATGTTCGGAAGACGCTTCAGTGTGTTTCTACCTGTATATGAATAAGAGCTAGGTTTCACAGGATTCCTTGGTGATTTATTGTGGCACAGCTTTTACGTCCGAAGGAAAAATGGGCTGGTCCCACCGGAAACTGAAGAAGTCAAGACTTTTGGACCTCTGATCACCGTTCGGTGAGCCGAATTGAAGAATTCTTTTCTGTCTATGACACTCTATTTGGTTGAACAAATGGAGCTCTTGTCGAGCCCCGGTCGAATTATCACCAAGGCCTTAGTAAAAAATGGATTTTGATTTTTACTTAAATGTATCAGTGAGCGAAAACCTACGGAAATGCTCATTGTTGCTCATCTGCATCCCTATTGGAAAGGTTACATTTTTGCTATTCGCCGACAACATTGCATGTAACCTAAAACAGATCGTTTTATGTCATGCAAAAGTTGTTTTTTTTGTCGGTAGACAATTTTGCTGGATTTGATGAATGTAAGTCGGTTTGGGCGCCTTTGTAAGCCTTGTCGACTCGAGTGATGCGCACACCTGAACAGCTACAGCAACCACCGGTTTGTGCATTTCACCGCAACGCCCGGCCGACAAAGTACACATAGACCTTGTCCTCCTCGGCGGCTAGCAACCGTTCCGCCCAAACTGTCGGGACTCGGCCTGCGTGACTACGTTTGATGGACACTTTGACAGTTGCCGACGCGTAAGTTCGCTTGGCAACTCAAACTTGCGTTTACGTCTACGCGTCGGCACTAAGCACATCCTCATTTTGTGGAAGAGCGAAAGGTTTGAGCCTCTTACCTTCAAAGGGTTTGGGAAAAGTTCGGTCCATGAGCCGAAAACGCGGCTTAACGGGGCAATGATCTGTACCCTGTTCTGGCCAGTTGCCATCCGGACCGCTTTACTCTTTCAGCCACATCTTCCGCTTGGATCACACTCCAATCACAACAGTCATTTCTGGTTGTACGCTTGTAATGCCTTATTCACCCCCAGCCCTGTCGGTGCAATGTGATGATGATTGAAAGTTTTTGGCCCTCGGTTCGCGGACCAACGCGAATATCACATGCGCATTGCGTTAGTTACATACTCATCAAGTAATTGAGCAATTTTTTTGTTGATTTCGTCTAAGTAGGCGGGTGAAAGACATAGACCAAACAAGGGGTTGCCTTGAATTTGGGTCTTGCAATCTCGATGAGTCCGTGCTCAACTTCTGCCAGTCGTGTGGCAGCCATCGCAAGAGCCAGAAGGTATCATTTATGAAAACTTCACCAAAACTCTACATCAAGAAAAGTTGTTTTTTGTGTGCATGCTTCGAAGTAAAAATGTTTACAAGAGTTTATCAATTACAAAAAGACAGTAACACAGTCTTCAAGACTCAATCCCAGTACGCACACACACGCACAATTGGACACACACTCAATGGCAGCACAGGAGCATTCGTCGATCGGCGTCCTACGAAGATGATTGCCAAGTGCTAACATGTAAGGAGACCAACAACACTACAAACTGTTAACAGAGCTCTTGAAAGCAGTTATTCGGTAGATTTATTGACATTATGCCTGCTTGTGAACCTGTGCAGAATGCGTCTGTTGATCTACTCAAAATGAGAGCAAGAGCATGAATACTACTCTCCACTCAGTCCCGCTCATCACAGCCAACGCGCACCGAAATGGTGTCTCCTCTTCCGTTCATACATGCGATCAGCTGTGAGCAGAAGACAGGATCCACTGGTACATCTTCGCCTGTACCGATCCGCAATAAGACAGTGCCAGAATAGACTAAACTGCATGGACTTTGCACCGTCAAAGGATTGCCTTTCTGAAATAAAAGTAAACTACGTGTACTTCTTTGCTAAACTAGTTTCACGACAGCTTTCAGCCTTTAGAATAGAGTTCCGTGAAGCGATTTCACATTTCAGTTCAGTTTTCATGATGCTTTCACAAAAGAGTAAAGTTTGCTGCAACCACTCATGTGCAATCCGGCTGTATCGTCTTCGTAAGATGGACTTGGAAAGACGCAGGCGAATTTTGGCATAAATTCACGTCCAGGACACAAGAGTTGGTCATGACGAGTCCACGGGACTTGGTCTTCTTCGCTGCCGCATGAGGCACTTTGAGTGCGTTGAATGGTCATTTCGCGGGGAAAGTGGGTGAATTGGCCCCGCCGGAAACCGAAAGCGGATTGCCGTCGAGTGGAGAACGTTGAAATGTGCAAACGGTCCTGTAACTTTACGCACAAGTGAACTAATCTACCAAACGAAACCTAATCGATGTTAACGAGGCACCTCATTTCTTGGTTGGTTACTTCAGGCTTGCAGATGCGTGGAGTTATTTCACAAAAAAGAGTTGATGCGGTCGCAGCTCCTTTCTGACAATTCAATCAAAGTCAGCTTTAACTCAACTTGAGAGCATAATTGGTCACAAGATTGGGCGTTGACAGCATAAATTGCAAATTCATTGATAA